TGTGTACCCACCACTGTACCAGTACGTTTGTGTACCCACCACTGTACCAGTACGTATGTGTATACAACACTGTACCAGTACGTATGTGTACACAACACTGTATCAGTACGTATGTGTACCCACCACTGTACCAGTACGTTTGTGTACCCATCACTGTACCAGTACGTATGTGTACCCACCACTGTACCAGTACGTATGTGTACCCATCACTGTATCAGTACGTATGTGTACCCATCACTGTAGCAGTACGAATGTGTAAACAACACTGAACCAGTACCTATGTGTACCCATCACTGTACCAGTACGTATGTGTACCCAACACTGTATCAGTACGTATGTGTATACAATACTGTACCAGTACGTATGTGTACACAACACTGTACCAGTACGTATGTGTACACAACACTGTACCAGTACGTATGTGTACCCATCACTGTACCAGTACGTTTGTGTACCCACCACTGTACCAGTACGTATGTGTCAACAACACTGAACCAGTACGTATGTGTAAACAACACTGTATCAGTACGTATGTGTACACATCACTGTACCAGTACGTATGTGTACCCATCACCGTACAAGTACGTATGTGCAAACAACACTGAACCAGTAAGTATGTGTACACAACACTGAACCAGTACGTATGTGTATACAACACTGTACCAGTACGTATGTGTACCCACCACTGTATCAGTACGTATGTGTACACAACATTGTACCAGTGCCTATTTGTATACAACACTGTACCAGTACATATGTGTACCCACCACTGTACCAGTACGTATGTGTAAACAACACTGTACCAGTACGTAGGTGTTCCCACCACTGTATCAGTACGTATGTGTACACAACACTTTACGAGTACGTATGTGTACACAACACTTTACGAGTACGTATGTGGAAACAACACTGTACAAGTACGAAGGTGTACACAAGACTGTACCAGTACGTATGTGTAACCACCACTGTACCAGTACGTATATGTACCCACCACTGTACCAGTACATATGTGTACACAACACTGTACCAGTACCTACGTGTACACAACACTGTACCAGTACATATGTGTACCCACCACTGTACCAGTACGTATGTGTACACAACACTTTACGAGTACGTATGTGTAAACAACACTGTACAAGTACGTATGTGTACACAAGACTGTACCAGTACGTATGTGTACACAACACTGTACCAGTACGTATGTGTCAACAACACTGAACCAGTATTTATGTGTACACAAGACTGTACCAGTACGTATGTGTAAACAACACTGTACCAGTACGTATGTGTACACAACACTGTACCAGTACATATGTGTACACAACACTACCAGTACGTATGTGTATACAACACTGTACCAGTACGTATGTGTACCCACCACTGTACCAGTACGTATGTGTACACAACACTGTACCAGTACGTATGTGTACACAACACTGTACAAGTACGTATGTGTACACACCACTGTACCAGTACGTATGTGTATACAACACTGTACCAGTACGTATGTGTACCCACCACTGTACCAGTACGTATATGTACCCACCACTGTACCAGTACGTATATGTACCCACCACTGTACAAGTACGTATGTGTACCCACCACTGTACCAGTACGTATGTGTATACAACACTGTACCAGTACGTATGTGTACCCACCACTGTACCAGTACGTATATGTACCCACCACTGTACCAGTACGTATATGTACCCACCACTGTACAAGTACGTATGTGTACCCACCACTGTACCAGTACGTATGTGTATACAACACTGTACCAGTACGTATGTGTACCCACCACTGTACCAGTACGTATATGTACCCACCACTGTACCAGTACGTATATGTACCCACCACTGTACAAGTACGTATGTGTACCCACCACTGTACCAGTACGTATGTGTATACAACACTGTACCAGTACGTATGTGTACCCACCACTGTACCAGTACGTATATGTACCCACCACTGTACCAGTACGTATATGTACCCACCACTGTACCAGTACGTATGTGTACCTTGTATTAAACATAAAAGTGTACCCGCTTATTTATGGTATTTTTTTGTATTTGAACCAGAACTTGAACACCTATGAGATAAGTATATGATTTCAATATCACGCATACAGGACATGGACATGTTCTATTCTGTGAAGGTTTCGGGTGTTTCCTTGTCAATGTTGAGTCAGCTGTAAACCTGACACAGGCATGACTGACCTACAGAGCGGTACGTGTTGGTATATAAATAACGTGTGTGAATACGGGTATACATAAATACAACAAACACTGAGGGTGAACAAACAGATTTCCATTTTTTTCTGAGATAGAGGTAAGTAACACATACCTGATAAGTGTTTACGGTTATACCTTCAATCGAAGATTGTGTTTTTATATTTCAGACAACATTTTACGTAATTATGTCATTTGGTGTTTATATTTGATAAAGTGTGTATCATTAATTAGGAGCTACCTATAGTCCTAAGATGATATGTACTGTCATACCAGGAACGTTGGAGGAGGCTGACGCTGACTACTACAGCATACAGAACGTCACTGGGAGATATTATTGCACTATGTCTCAAAGAATATCTCGAAGAATTTAAAAAAATAGGATATCTTTATAGCCAAATTAAATTGATTATATAGAAATTTTGTCTATGGGCTGATAAAGCTTTTTGTCGAGTAATGAACCTCTTCATATTTTCTCTGTAGTAAGATCAGTTCAATCATGTCTCTCATTGACGTTCCTGTCCTAATGTAGTTCGCTTCAGTTAAATCAACCGTTCATCATGTGACAATACATAGGAAATCTGTACGAATCTGTATGTGTTTGGTGCTGAATGTTAAGTTGGCTTGACATATAGTAGATAAATAGGTATGAAGCTGCTGCCTGATGATAAGATACACCCCTTACCAGACACTGTCACAAATGTTATTATATTTACAAATACTATCACAAATATCGTCACAAATATCATCACAAACAGCATTACTAGTTATATCAAAAACACAAAATATTTTAATCACTATCATTATAAGTACCATCACTAATTCTATGTGAATCATAATCAGTATCATTGATAATATCTAAGGTAAACACCATATCACTTATATAATCTAAATCACAAAAATATTTATGAACATATCTGTAACTGGTTGGTATTGCGTAGCAATATTGACACCATTTGGAAATCAGGGAGGTATTTTTAGACGCGTTATGTTAGTGCTTTTACTGACCAGGAAGTAGAAAATAAGTCCACATCACAGGTTCGTCATGCGAGTAACTATTGGTGTGTATCGACTATTTGTGTATTAGACTTCCTTCTTTCACTTCGAAGAATGTATTCACCTGGCTTGTATTGAATAGTGTTAACCCGTTTTTGTCGGGGTTTTGTTTGACCTTGGTATGGTCGTTAGCTGTTTGGTTACCGCCTAGTCCCACTGCTGTAATTTGAGGCAATAGAATATGCTGAACTAAAACACTACAAATTCGCAGATACCCGGTAGTGGTTACTACCAATTGGTATTTGTAATTATTTGACTGTCCGTTAAACAACAAAGCATTACCTGTTATTAGGTGTTCGACTGTTGTAAGAGATATTGTACTGAAAACATCGCCATTTTCTTCAATGATTTCTTTCCTACAACCAATTTTGGAGTTGGCAGTGACCATTCTGATTGGTTAATGATCTGATTAAAATCGTCCAATGAGCGAATCAATGGTATCATATTGACACTAGGTTGGTGGAAATGCTTCGATCAACTCTGCGGTCATCAAATGGAGAAATGGTTATCAGCATCACGATAAGTGGTTAACTTGGTAACTACCTGTCCGAGTATGGACCTGTATTCCTGTGCTGATAGTATGTAATGATGCTCTCTACAATCTTGTTATTCTATTGTTATTCTATTGTTATTCTATTGTTTTCTATTGTTATTCTATTGTTATTCTATTGTTATTCTATTGCACGTTTTGTACACGAGGCACGATGCGTTCTCATAAGCTACACTATTTTATATGAAATAACCTTAATATATCTCACTCCGATAAACAATGATATACATATACAATATATCTCACTCCGATAAACAATGATATACATATATAATATATCTCACTCCGAAAAACAATGATATTCATATATAATATATCTCACTCCGATAAACAATGATATACATATATAATATATCTGTTTGTGTCGTGAAATATTACTACAGTGATTATATACTAATTACTATATGTTCACAAGTGATGATATAAGTCCTGTATCAGTTATTTGGTGATCAATCAGAGCGGGATTCTTTTTCTATTTACTGTATTCAAAGCCAACGATTTTTCTGTTCCAGCTGCAGAAAAATCGAGTGTAATTTGTCGTTTTTTTCGTGAAAACGTTAAATATTAATATCAAATTAAACATTTTTTGTTGTTACTCTTGAAATGTAATAAATTGAGTAGACAATTGAATGGTTTTCTTTTTGAATACCATATATATTTCACTTGTATGGCAGAAGATGCCGATATTTTCACGACCTAAAAAACCCGGTTTTCTGGCAATAATTATATCCCACTTAAAAAGATACAATAATAATATACTGCTCAACAAAGAATATATTGCCGAGACATCACCACGCAAACATATTCTTAATCTTCACGTTTAATCAATTCTCTAGGATGTACACATTCAGACATATTCCTATCACGTAGATATAGACACTGGTTACACATTTGTTATCACTTAAACTTACGTTATACCCAATCCCAAAGGAACGCAGCTAATAGACTTGCCACAATATGCACATAACTTGTCGTAGATCCGGGGTACCATTAGTGACATACACTGGATCTAAGCTTGTCGTAGATCCGGGGTACCATAATTAGTCACGCACACTGTATGTATTCACAACCTGCTGGGTTTCTTTATATCTAACTGCAACTATTGATTGTATCATTCTCATTATGAATTCATGAAAAATGCAAATACATGAATTGCTCTACGATGTCCGATGGTGATGAATTTGTTCGTTTTTTAACCATTTTTAACCAATACGAGAACAACCAGTTATAGGATAACAACTAGTCATATGATAACAGCTAGTCATACGAAAACAGCTATTCATATGATAACAGCTAGTCATACAAAAACAGCTATTCATATGATAACAGCTAGTCATATGATAACAGCTAAAATCATACGAAAACAGTTTAAGTCACGTGATAACAGCTAGTCATATGATAACAGCTAGTCATACGAAAACAGCTAGTCATATGAAAACAGCTAAAATCATATGATAACAGCTTAAGTCACGTGATAACAGCTAAAGTCGTATGATAACAACTACAGTCATATGAAAACAGCTAAAGTTATATGATAACATCTAAAGTGTCATGATAACAGCTTAGGTCACATGAAAACAGCTTGAGTTATATGATAACAGCTAGGTCAATATGTCTTTTCTCGGGTCGATAAATCCAGATATTAACCGAAGTCAAAGGCTACAATTGTTTTATTATTTTCAAAACAGTAAAGTTAGCAATCTGAAAAAACACAGCAAAAAGCTACGGAAGCGGGACGATAAGTTCGTTTTGAGACACGTCATTATTCTATTTTTAGAAACACCCAGTCCTTCAACAAAAATCACGCGCCCCAAGTCAATATCGGTTTTTATCGGTGGACACGTGATTCACTTCTGGCCTATCCCTTGTCGGGAATAATATGAAAAAAATAATAACAGCTAGTAATATGATAACAGCTAGTCATATGATAACAGTTAATCATATGATAACAGCTAGTCATATGATAACAGTTAGTCATATGATAACAGCTTTAGTGATATGATAACAGCTAATCATATGATAACAGCTAGTCATATGAAAACATTTAAAGTCATATGAAAACATTTAAAGTTATATGATAACAGCTAGTCATATGATAACAGTTAGTCATATTATAACAGCTTAAGTGATATGATAACAGCTAGTCATATGATAACAGCTAGTCATATGATAACAGCTAAAGTCACATGATAACAGCTTAGGTCACATGAAAACAGCTTAAGTTATATGATAACAGCTAGTCATATGATAACAGCTAGTCATATGGAAACAGCTTGTTATATGATAACAGCTTAAGTCACATGATAACAGCTAAAGTCGTATGATAACAGCTACAGTCATATGAAAACAGCTAAAGTTATATGATGACAGCTTATGTCACATGATAACAGCTTAAGTCATATGCTAACATCTAAAGTTATATGACAGCACCTTAGGTCATATGAAGACCGATAAAGTATAATGACGGCTGTTAAAGGTTATATAACAATGACGTATGCCGAATACCAACGACAACCAATGACGTCATATGACAGGGATATGGATTGTGAAGTAAATAGTTTTCTAAAACCTTTCACCCCCTGAACCATGTGCCGCGTATTGAAAAGTTGACGGCTAGTGACTTTTACAAGTTTGATGCTCAGAAAAAAACAATATTTTTGTACAAAAAAATGATATAATACATCATTTTTGAAAATTCATTGGCTGTCCAGTATAATAATGAAAAAACATGATCAAAAGATGGGTTTATGACGTCATAGTGTCTCATTTGCTAAAAGAAATCAGTTTCCGTGTAAAGAGTCAGAGAAAAGCATTAATTTCTTTGACGGAAAAAGACACATTATCAATCCAACAAAGCGCTGTTGGTAGACATGTATATATTATATATAACGGTAGACATGTAGATATTATATATAACGGTAGACATGTAGATATTATAGATAGCGAAATCTTGAAACATGGTTATGTTAATAAATGTTCCCAATTGTATATTTCGTCAGTGTCCTCTGCCTTTCAATGCCACCCCTTTCTGATATACGTCTGACAATTACAAAGGTTCAATATGGTAACATCTTTTGATAGTTGGCTTCCGACAGGATCTGATACCCCTTACATGTCTACATGATGTAATATATATTACAACCACAGGGTATGTGTACCTATCTCGGATTGGTTTCTACAGTACACTTGTATACTGTTAGAAGATATTACTTTACAATTTCGTCATACATTAACTTTTGTCTTTATATATACATGCTGGCCGAATAATGAACGTAAAGAATAGAGAACTATTATTAAACAAACATTTGTTTACACAAATATAAAATCCTTGAAAGCTACACGATAAAGGGAGTTCTTTGTAATAAAACGAATGTTTATATAGTGCAACAGTGTATTGGCTTTAACTCATTCACCCCTGAAATTTCATAATGAACTATTCCAAACTTTGTATTGAAAGAGTTCAATGGTGTCTTCAGGAGTAAATGAGGTAAATGGGGAAAGATACTCAAAACATCATACTTTCAATGTATAACAAATAGTATAGAATTTATATAAAAGCCAGTTTATACGTTCAATGCCCAAAACTTTCTGATGCGCCTGCCTTCTTAGACAAACAATATCTTTTGTTGTTAATATTTGAATTTACAAACCCAGGTACTTTTATGTCTAAGAGGACAGGCGCATCAAAGCATGACTGATATATGTTATGTGAACTAGAATGTGCCATATCTCACAACTGTCTTACGTCGCCAAATCCATCTATTTTTTCCTCATTTTTATTTCAGAAAAAGTTTATAACGACAATACACAAGATGGCAACGATTGTTCCATTTTCGGGAAGTAACACCAACAAGGCGGTGTTGTCCCGGTATTTAGATATCCCTCAGCCAGATGATACCGTCCAGGTGGAGTATATTTGGATCGACGGGACTGGGGCCGGCCTCAGGAGCAAGTGTAAAACAATGGAATTTGAACCCATAAGCCCGAAAGGTAATGAACCAACGCTATTGTGGCTTATTAGCCATAATCAAAAATTTACTCAATGGTGTATCAAGGGAATTTTCATAATTGTTTTCAGTTAGAGGTGAAATGAAGTCATGCTTCTGTGATAATGTGCGGCTTGCTTACACAGATATACATCTACAAAGAAATATTGTTTTCAAAGTACATAAGAAAGTAAACGAAGACAATAACATGGAAGAGTAGTTCTTGTAATCAAAAGAATATATACTATAATCTTCCTAATATTATAATTGTTGTATATATTCTGTCAATAAACTCACTCTCTCATACATAAACACAGCCGCACACACATTCCTCACGGTGTATATAGACTGTACTTGAAAGTAAAAATAAGATTTGTACTTCATAATAAATTATAAAAAGCAATTACCAGCGAAATGTTACTTGATGAACGTGATGATATGGCTGGTATTTGGAGTGCATCGTTCGCTGATTTAAGCATATCTATCGTTGTTTTTTTTTTATTGTTTCTGTTATATGTTAACTAAAGTAATGATCCATAATTGAAAAACATTGCTTTCTTTATGATTTTTCGTCTGTGTTGTACATCAAAATGTCAAAATATGCACAGTCGTCGAGATCAGCTGTGCCATCAGGTGTAAATACGTGATGTTGATAGACAAAGCGGCGCCGGGAATACCTAAAACATTAAAAAAAAAATGCATAACATTATGTGTAGGGTCGATCAGCTTTTTATAGATACAATGTAATAATTATTGTAAATAAAACACAATGCATAACAGACGAGACAGATCTGGACTGCCAAAAATGTTACCATAGCATTTGTTAACGACTCTGATATAGATATTACTGATGTTAATTACATTATATACTTCCTTGTCAAGTTAGACTTTAACTAGTTGTCCAGTTCAGACTTAAAGAGTCGAATTTGTGTCACTGCATCTAAAGTGCATTTATGAAGTTTCCAACTTAATTCCAAAGGACGCAAGTAATATATTTAATTGACTCTGCTTGCAATGTTCGTAATACAGGTAGCGAATACAGAGTAGCGCGAACATTGTGCACACAGGAAGATTCCTCTAATTTGATCAGGTGTGCTAACGTAGCAGAGCATTATGTGTGTACTGCATTGGGGGTTTAAAAAAACATAAAAGGAGCAGAGGCAATGCGAATTGCACCATGGGCCCTTTTGGTCGAAATATTACAATTCAAAGCAAGACCGTTAAACAATTGTAAATTTGCAGAATAAGATCTATTTAAGGACATTCGTTTAACTTCATCTCGGACTCGACAAACTTCCTACATGGCCAATAAGGTCATATAACAAGCAGAGCCTAGACACAGGGATACTAGGTGTAATGTTATTGGTAGGCACTAGGGTGATGTATTTGAGTAGGATTATAACAAGCGACTGATGTGTTTACAGCTGACACTCCCGTTACACGTATCCAGTCCTGATACAGTCAGTTTGTTACAGTATATTAATGTCTTTGCATTCTACATATTGGTAGCGTATTAAAATAAGTACATTGGCAGTGGCATGGTATCAAAATAAAGACCGTGTATTTATCAGATTGACAGTTATATAATCTTACTGACAGTGCGTTCCACATCTCGTGGTAAGCATTATGACATTGTACAGTAGTCTCATTGATTTGTGTCTCTTGTTACAGAATGTTCGGTGTGGAACTTTGACGGGTCCAGTACCGGTCAGTCTGAGGGGTCAAACTCGGACATGTACCTGCACCCCGTGGCCCTGTTCCCAGATCCGTTCAGGAGGGGCCGAAATAAGCTCTGTTTATGTGACGTGTATAAATACAATAACAAGCCAGCAGGTACGTACGAATACAGCAACACGCCACTGGTTACGTACAAATACAGCAACATGCCACCAGTTATTACAAATACAGCAACACTCTACCGGTTATTACAAATACAGCAACACGCCAGCAGTTACGTACAAATACAACAGCACGCCGTCAGTAACGTACAAATACAGCAACACGACAGTAGTTACGCACAAAAACAGCAACACGCCAGCAGGTACGTACAAATACAACGGCACGCCGTCAGTAAAGTACAAATACAGCCACGCGCCATCAGTAACGTACAAATTCAGCAACGCGCCATCAGTAACTTACAAATACAGCAACATGTCACCAGTTATTACAAATGCAGCAACACTCTACCGGTTATTCCAAATACAGCAACACGCGAGCAGTTACGCACAAATACATACTGCAGCTAATATGTATCTCTTGCTATGCTATATGTGTATGGCTAGCATTTCGTTATTTTCCTGTCATTATATCTAATTCAGACTATTCTTTAAAAACAGTTATTCAGCAGATCAGTTTGGTTTATTTTGTTTTACGTCCTATTAACAGCTAAGGTCATTTAAGTATCTGCAAATCAGATAAAAAACATGTTACAAAAAAATCAGTCTTTTCCTGTGTCTAGTTATATACCTTGGCCTATATTTATATAACTAAACAGAAAAACAAAAGTCGACATACGCATTGACTTATATTAACTCACAGTATATACATAATGGCACATAAAACGCTCATAACTGCTTGGTCTTCCTGCAATTGAATGTTATTCCATTATCCCATATTTATAAGGGTATGTTTACTACGGCTGTTTGGAACGTTTGTTTGGGGTTTAACGTCCTCGCAACAGCCAGGGTCATGACGACGGGTGCCCAGGGAGACACCACCTAAAACAGAAAGTAGTTAGACGAGAAAGCAGACAGGAAAGACAGGAAACGAAATAGATCCCAAGTGTTGCAATGGGGGCAGCAGATCAATTATTGTCTCTTCCATGTCCCCTTCATAGAGGACACAGGAGAAAACGCCCGATTATACAGGGGACCCCACAATAGTCGCCTTTTACGATACACATGCAGTGGGATACAGCAGACCAAACCTACATGGGTTGTTAGGAACGTACAATCAAATGAAAACGGTTTCGCACACGTTTGCCGTTACTGATCAAACCACGAAAACTGGTTTATCAACCGTATATCTGTACCAGGTTTTGTCTGTTTTTACAGAGACGAATCACCGCCACACATGTTATGATGCCATGGAGAGGTCGAAGTCTCACAAGCCCTGGTTCGGTATAGAACAAGAGTATATCTTGTTTGATAATGACGGTCATCCCTATGGCTGGCCGAAAAATGGCTTCCCCGGACCCCAGGGTAAGTATTCATTTAGTTGCCTTCCCCGAACCCAAGGGCAGATTTAAATTTGCGATCCCTGACCCTAGGGCAATCTTTAGTTGGCTTCCTTGGACCCTTAGGGCAATTTTTAGTTGGCGTTTCCGAACCCCAGTTTAACCCCTCCCCAGGGTGATTCCCACTTGCCTTGGTTACCCCGACAGCGTAAGACTTCAGCTGCCCAGCTTATTTAAATCTAACACCAATAAAAAAAAGTGTGATTTTTGTAAAGAAAATATTGCTGGAAAGGTTGGCTGACCCCCATCTATATCAAATTACGTTTTGTAACAAGGTTAATACAATATGTAGCAGTAGGTTCCCATTGTTATGTGTTTCAAGTTTGGCACATACTGTACCTATCTCCTCCGCTCCACGCTTCCTTCACTTTTGTAAACGACCCGCGGACTATATCTGTTTGACCTCGAGGTCATGGTGATTTATGTCCTAACAATATGGTATAAGTATAAGTACCGAAAAATATTTCTTTAAAACAACTTAAAATATAATATAATATCTTGAACGATATCTAAGGAAGTCTTGCTAAAAAAACCCGTTATGAAGTTGTAAAGTCGAGGTATTTGGTGACCTGTTAACAGGAAATTCAATAATAACCTTACTACTGTAATTGTGGAGATATCTTAAACTTGTCAATTTCTTTAGCATACATGACTGTCTGCTCCCAAATTTCTCCGCAAAAATAATCCAAGATTAAATCATAATTGTATTACATAATGTGGCACAATTACGTTTTAAGGAATCATCTTTATATGACGTGTAACGCAAGGACCGATCTGCGTCGAATTCTAGAAAGATTCAGTTCCCTTAAAGTAATTTTGACTATCCAGGTTATCATCCGCGATTGTGAAATTCTTTACAAAATTTATTAAAAAGCACCTTTTTTTACGAGGGTTTTTGAAGATATTTTCATCTTGTAGATATGATATTTCAAACCCAATTTCAAATTCAGATCGATCTTTTTCCTAACATGGATACCAAATAATAATTTAATCTTGCTTGTAACACCCATTTTCATTGGCTTAAAAATTAATGTTATCAGCCCATAACGTAAAAAAGTGACGTCGCCGTTTGTAACGTCGCTTTTGATTGATTGGCTGATACAGCGGCGTAATAATTTCTAATAGAAAAGAGTCCATCAATAAAAGTGGTTTTCCACAGGGATTGTGTATAGTAGATTCGCGGTTTACTCAGAGTACACTCCGTTTTTGTGTTATATCTCCATAACATAATAAAAATATTCAAGTTAATCCTTAAATATTATATGCCTCAGTGATACCGTCAGTAACTGCGACGGAAATAGATGAACGGCGATTTACATGAAGATTCACTGTGACAGAATTGTGTTTATTTTTCAGTGTTTAACGTTTCAATGACTAAACGATTTTAGATAAAGAAGTTGAGATTATAAAAAAGATGAAATTACATTTTTAATGATATGCATGGTATTAATGATGTCTAACATGCAACAACATGCCTAGGTGAGTCACGGTACATAAACATCGACGGAAATGGATGAACAGCGGCATACAAACTATATGAGGACTTTTAAAGCACAACTTAAAATGTATGTTGATAACGATCAAGAGCATTAGTATAGATGTTTTGAATTCAAGTCCTGTCTCGGTGATTCAATAAATAGGCTAAAGAATTTAGGCTAAAAAACTCTCACGGGGACTTTGACTATGAAAATCAAATATATCATTAATGACGAACTAATTTTACGGATGGACTTTTCGTGATCTTAATTCTGTTGCGCAATTGATTTATATGCAAATGTGACGTCATATAAAAGGGAATAGCGGTATTCATGTTCCGTGCTTTTGTTTACAAAAAAGGCAAGAATACTGTCGGTAAAGTTGTGACTGACAAAATCAGATGGGAGAAAAATAAGTATCCAATAATTTTGGGGTGTAACAGAGAAAAGGTTGTTTGGTTGTCTATATGGTACCCTTGGCAGAGCATCAGGTTAGACAACGAAAAACATCGCCCCTCGTGTTGGAGATTTCTCTATGACACCCTCGGGGAAGGGTTAAAATTATGTTAGTCTTCCTCTTGGTATCTCAGATATCAGCCTAGTGATCTCTCGTCAGAGCACAGTGGTATATCGTTAGAGCACAGTGGTATATCGTTAGGACCTAGTGATATCACGTTAGGGCACAGTGATATATCGTTAGGGCCTTGTGATATCTCGTTGGAGCACAGTGATATATCATTAGGGCCTTATGATATCTCATTAGGGCCTAGTGATTTCTCGTTAGAGCACAGTGATATATCGCTAGGGTCTTATGATTTCTCGTTAGAGCACAATGATATATCGTTAGGGCCGAGTGATTTATCGTTAGGACACAGTGGTTTCTTCTTCAGGCACAATGGAAACCTCTTGAGCCCAGTGGTTCTTCCTTTTGAGGTTAAAAAGTTTAAGAGCTATAGCTGAAACACAATAACTTATGCACGAGGAAGTTAACTCTAACACAAATAACGGGCCCGGTATTGGTAATCGATATTTGACATAAACGTCCTGATATAATGTATCAAGATGTTGTGACTGCATGTATTCCCTTGGTTGTCCGATGGTTGCATCGACTATGTTTTGAATCCTCAGGTCAAATGATCTTATTTTGAGTTTTATAATGATGAAATTGTAAAAGAAATGTGTTAAGTTAATGACTTGATACGTTAATGACTTTTTAAAAAGGTGTTTATACTCTAGAGAACAAAACAAGAACACGCAATTTTACTCATATTTCATCCTTTTTATACTTATTTTTTATTCACTACAATACCTTGACATCTATAAAATGAACAAACTAGTACATTTGAACGTAAGATTTAAATTGAAATTTACCTCATTCCAATGAAGCAATATAGTATTCAAAAGTGGCTGTGCTTCAACAGTCAAAAAGGAAGAATCTCATAAATCAGCCTTTCGGTACGAAGTGAAGTAATATGTTGAGTTTGTACTTTGTGATGTGTTGAGTTCTCTGTGTAATATATAGTGCTGAACCTGACATTTTGTGGTAGACATGAATGACTGTTTGGGGTGATAATAAAATGTTATAGTTATTTGATAGAGTTGTCTGAATCTCTGGCTGCGATAACAGCATTCACTCAGACTCAGTAAATAGTGCAACTCATTTGTTTACAACACGGAGCTTACAACCATCAAACGATGTCTTGCTTCGTCCGCCCCTTTACTGTTCTAACAGATGTCTGTATCAATGAATTCAGATAACGTGAGCCTTGGGTTCATGACAAAATACCATAGTTAGGTACACTAGTACAATACACCAAATGGCAGGTTTGATGTGAAGGTAACGACATGACCAGTGACACAGTTGAGTTGGACACCAGGGCCGCTTTCGTTTTTCGCTATCCAAACGGTTGGACCAGAGTTGCTCGTTAATGCAATAAGGTCGGACCTAGTTATCTGATGCTGTGCAAGGCCTTTACAAACATTTGCAGGTCCGCCAGGATTTATACATTTAAAAACATACAAACTGATTGTTCCTCATAAACGAACAGGCCCTTGGTAACGACGAGTTGAATGCTGAACGTAAGACGCACAAATGGTTGCACCTATACATATTTGTAATAGAAACAGTATGCCAAATAATAGAATACTGAACCATATAGCTGATTCGCCTTTCTATGTCTCAAAAAGGTAGATATCCAAAAAGAGCCTAATCTACAGTCGAAACAGGTTGGACGTGCATGAAAACCACTAAATAATAAGAATTTAAAATACATTTTATTACAGGAAAATGGTTCATTTCAAATAAATAACCAGTAAAGTGTAAAAATTATGAACCGTTCAATCAAAATTAAAGTCACAGCCTTTGAAATTCATCAGCGGAGTCTATCACATTGTATTTGAAAGATGAACATTTTATTGCATCTAACTAAACCTAATGAAAAATAGAGTATGCCAGATATTAATAACACTGCACCATATTGGTATTTCGTCCTTCAAGGACCAGTCGTTGATGCCAGGGGCCATACAGGTCGGGGTTAAATTTGTGTAAACCGGAATTATTCATTATTTTGAATTCGCATATATCCTGATATATAGGATATGACGATATGTGGCTATACAATGTGTGCCTCAACTTCCATTCTGTTTGTTGTGTCCGAGATGGACGATATTTAGCCATCTGAACCAGGGTTCCTTGCACAGATCATAATCACTTGATTAGAATTTGGACAAGCAAAACAAAATCCTGATACGTCAAACAAATCACATACCTATTTCAGGTGAAAATATTATGTGAGATTTACGTGGATTATCATAAAACGTCAGCAATTACTACCAGACCCGTGACGGTAGTGTAATTCTGTTAACTATTCGTTCAATACAATTTGGGTAAATGGGACCTTCACTTTAAGATATGTTGATGCTTCTAGACGATAGTAGATATACCAGTAAGTCTAACACGAGTATTTCATGCCTGCTTTGTGCTTACCTAAAATTAGGTCGTGATCGAAATGTAACACTGAGAAGATTAAATATATGTAAATCACATTCAGGTCACCGTCGACCTAGCGAAGAGCACGTGTCTGGTCACACAAGTGTTCACTGACTTCACATGTGTGTCATCAGTGCTCATATATAGCTTGGGACATCAGAGCGAGGACGTGGATGTCCATTTCATGAAGACCTAAATATGATTATTTGACCAACATAAATGTGTTTAATGGAGGCATTTAAAATAACGACAGGAATATGTTAGTTAATATTTTAATCGATACGTGAAACATTCTTCCGCATATTTGTACATGCATCGGCCTCATTGCATCCCCCTTCCTATCTCTCTTGTTGTATAAGTATACAGTAACACTGCACAACCCTGACAATGAAATGGGCTAATCGGTGCAAAATAGAACGTTACGCCCAGTCAATATTTGATTTATCAATAATAGCCATGTTTACAATAAAACAGTCTAGCGCAGCTTTACTCATTTACAAT